TAGGAACATTTGAAATAACAACTTTGACTTGTAACAGAGTTTTTTGAAGTCATAGTATTCCTACTTTTCCCTCAGTAAAGGATCTGGTTTGAACTTTTGATAATTGAAGTACATTTTCTCGACAGTACTCCTTCTGTATTTCTACTTAAGTTATATTTTCTAATTGGGAATGTACTTGTAAGGGAGTATTTTAAAGTCATAGTATTCCTACTTTTACTTTGTCTCCGAGTACTTCTTCCAGCATCGTGTGTGGGTGACTGAAACAGTGATTTCTAGGTTGGAGCCAGTTCTGTTTTTGTTCGACTCCCTTTGTTTCCCAGAGTTGAGACTCTCGCCAAGTCTCACACAGAATCTGGGTTGCCTCGGAGTATCGAGTGTCTCGGGGTGCAGAAATGAACCATTATGGCTGTAATTGAGGAGAGCGTCTGGTAGAGAGGGGGGAGGAGCGTCTCGCTGGAGATGGATTGGTTTCCAGGGGCAGCGAGTTCACGAACATCCACGACAACATCTAGACCTCCACCTTCTGTCCTGGAGCTACTTCAGCTTCGTATATAAACGGCACCACGACTACTTCCTTTCTTTATTTGATCCCTTTTATCCCTTTCAGGAAAAAGGGTTTTAAAACTGATCGTAGATGGGAATAGAGCGGTGCAGGAATGAGTCCTCGAAAGGACAAAAGGAGTTAGCATTGTAGCACTTCCTGTTCCTTCATCTGGAGGTTTTTCTGAATGTGTTATTAGTTGTTATCCTAAAATAAGGTCTGTGGTTAACTCAAGCTGAAGAGATTTTAACGTTTTGTTCTACGACATAAAATACGTCAGTAAAGGAAATTAGAAACGGAGGTTGCTAACAAGTGTCTGAATGAGACGACTAAACGTCATCACGCCCAACATTAGCCACCTTTAGCTTAGCGGTGGTGACGTGAAGTCATGTGACCGTGCTGTAGTTCCTTTATAGTCCAACATTAGCCACCTTTAGCTTAGCGGACGTGAAGTCATGTGACCGTGCTGTAGTTCCTTTATAGCCCAACATTAGCCACCTTTAGCTTAGCGGACGTGAAGTCATGTGACTGTGCTGTAATTCTTTTATAGCCCAACATTAGCCACCTTTAGCTTAGCGGACGTGAAGTCATGTGACCGTGCTGTAGTTCTTTTATAGCCCAACATTAGCCACCTTTAGCTTAGCGGTGGTGACGTGAAGTCATGTGACCGTGCTGTAGTTCCTTTATAGCCCAACATTAGCCCCCTTTAGCTTAGCGGTGGTGACGTGAAGTCATGTGACCGTGCTGTAGTTCCTTTATAGTCCAACATTAGCTACCTGTAGCTTAGCGGACGTGAAGTCATGTGACCGTGCTGTAGTTCCTTTATAGCCCAACATTAGCCACCTTTAGCTTAGCGGACGTGAAGTCATGTGACCGTGCTGTAGTTCCTTTATAGCCCAACATTAGCCACCTTTAGCTTAGCGGACGTGAAGTCATGTGACCTTGCTGTAATTCTTTTATAGCCCAACATTAGCCACCTTTAGCTTAGCGGACGTGAAGTCATGTGACCGTGCTGTAGTTCTTTTATAGCCCAACATTAGCCACCTTTAGCTTAGCGGTGGTGACGTGAAGTCATGTGACCGTGCTCTAGTTCCTTTATAGCCCAACATTAGCCCCCTTTAGCTTAGCGGTGGTGACGTGAAGTCATGTGACCGTGCTGTATTTCCTTTATAGCCCAACATTAGCCACCTTTAGCTTAGTGGATGTGAAGTCATGTAAAAAGCATGATGATACCGTATAATACAAATATTTAACTCAATTAGAGAGATAGCTATTCTGCTTACTTTTACATTTTGCTAATAATACTTATGTACTTCTACTTAAGTGGCATATTCGATGCAGTACTTTTACCCGTATCGGAGTATTTTAAGGCCATAATAGTTCTACTTTTACTTCAGTAAAGAATCTTCCACTACTGGTTCACATTCAGTTCCAATGCCATCCTTCAACATCTTGATTTGCAAAAATCTTTCTTCAACTCAGTAATAAATGACACATCAACGTCTCTGATCGTTTGTTAGTGTTTTTAATGCCACTGTACCGGCTCCAGTGGTAAATATGTATATTCTGAGCGTGTGAAAAATACTCACCAACCGAAGCATATGGCTCCACCATGTGTTACTTAATGAGAGATTTACTCACACAGACCGCTGAATGTGGGCTCGTTTAAGGAGGCAGAGCAGTGTTTGTGTGTGTTGCATGCAACTCGACTGCATAATAGAGGGGGGTTTGATCCCTGTGTAACCGCTCGCTGTAACCTTTTATATTCGTGGTGATGACTTCTGCAAAAAGAGAGCTGAGGACAGAAAATATCCTTGAAGTGTTGTTCAACTTTTGTCCTTGTTTGACTGTTTCAAGGCATAAAGTGTAAATCCTACGTTATTAACTTTATTCCAACTTCTAACCGCTCTTCTTTTTGGCCTTTATGGTCAATACACCCTTTTTTATAGTAAGTTAAATAGGCCTGTTAATGCTTTTTGAGGTTTTCCCGTTAGTGTGTTATTTAGGTTTCTGTGCATGTAAATGGTCTGCAAAGGCTAAAATCCCTGTGTTGGGCTATAAAGGAACCACAGCACGGTCACATGACTTCACGTCACCACCGCTAAGCTAAAGGAGGCTAATGTTGGGCTATAAAGGAACTACAGCATGGTCACATGACTTCACGTCTCCACCGCTAAGCTAAAGGAGGCTAATGTTGGGCTATAAAGGAACTACAGCACGGTCACATGACTTCATGTCACCACCGCTAAGCTAAAGGAGGCTAATGTTGGGCTATAAAGGAACTACAGCACGGTCACATGACTTCACGTCACCACCGCTAAGCTAAAGGTGGCTAAGGTTGGGCTTGATGGCGTTTAGTCGTCTCATTTAGCAACCTCCGTTTTTAAATTAATCTGTGGGATATTTACTTACTGACGTATTTAATGTCGTAGGACCACAGATCTCATTTCAAGCTTACAACCAAAAACCCATTCTGAAAACCATTGACTCTGACACGGACAGGAAAAAATGTTAACTCATTCCTGGGTTTTAGGACTCATTCCTGCACCGCTCTATATGGAAGTCAACACACCTTCCTAAAAAAAAGAAAGTAAAAAGGTGTTGTGTTTCATCGTGTATCCACATTGAATGCTGGTTCCCCCCCCCCCCCCCCCTGATGACGGGAGGTTACAGTTTCATGTTGTGCATACTCTCCTGACCGCACGCCCCCCCCCCCCTTGGCCGTGTGCAGTAATTGGCCACACAGCGCCCAGATCTCTTTGTTTCTGCAGAGTCTTGCGGTAGACATGCACAAGCGGCAGGCCTCGTAAATCTGTGGCACTCGGATGCAGGAATCTCCTCCACAATGACTTCACTCCCGCCCAAATCCCCGCCGTACTCCCAAACAGAGCCAATAACTTTATTTCATGACTTTTATGTGCTATGTGTATCGCTGTGTGACAGAGACGTTTCTGTTTCCTCACACAGAAAACCCCAATGTAGTATTTTGATGTTGCGCAGGCTGTGATTATGTCTGTTTGCTGCTTTTCTGCTGTTTGGCTTGGACTCGCTTCACTGGCTCTGCTGCTTCAGTTGTGGGTTTCCACGCCGGGTCAAATCTGGTTCAGTAAATAAATAGTCTTAACTTTACGGCCTGTGATGAGATAATGCGCCGATTCAAACGCCTGCACGTGAATGTAAGTATATAATCCAGAGCAAACTCTAGCCTTTAATGCACGAGATTTAAGAGCTGAAATCCTCACATCAGGGACCAAACTGGATCTTTTGATTTGTGCATTACATAACCCACTGGATTATATACATTTAAACAAAGTCGAATCATGCACACATCGTGAAGAACAGAAGGTTTTGCAGATCTCACTTTTTATACATCAGCTTATATATATTTGTTTTTGCCTTGCAGCTGTTATACGTGTTAGGGTTCCATAACATGTACGGACAGGTCAGTAAACGCATCTTAACTCAGTAATACCATTTAGTAGCAGATTGGCAGTGGTGTAAAGTACATTTACTCAAGTACTGTACTTAAGTACAATTTAGAGGTATTGAGTATTTTAATTGTATGCTACTGTGTACTTCTATTCCACTACATGTATTTAATACCTTCAGTTACTTCACAGATGAAGGATGTGAAATATAACCAAGTGTTGAATCAGACTTTAGTTCCACCTGGAGTAAATCCACCAGCTACCCTGCAGTATACAAAGTACTTCAAACTAGCTGCACCTTTACCAGCTTTGAGAACACTTTCATGATCAATCATTATAAAACACATCATATATATTATTCTGAAATGGACCAATCTGCACAACGACTACTTTTACTGTCTTTCACTATATTTTGATGATAATACTTTTCTACTTTTACTTGAGGAACATTTTGAATGCAGGACTTTTACTGTAACAGAGTATTCCTACACTCTGGTACTTCTACTTTTACTCAAGTACAAGATCTGAGTACTTCTACTTTTACTCAAGTACAAGACCTGAGTACTTCTACTTTTACTCAAGTACAAGACCTGAGTACTTCTACTTTTACTCAAGTACAAGACCTGAGTACTTCTACTTTTACTAAAATACATGATCTGAGTACTTCTACTTTTACTCAAGTACAAGACCTGAGTACTTCTACTTTTACTCAAGTACAAGACCTGAGTACTTCTACTTTTACTCAAGAACAAGATCTGAGTACTTCTACTTTTACTCAAGTACAAGACCTGAGTACTTCTACTTTTACTCAAGTACAAGACCTGAGTACTTCTACTTTTACTCAAGTACAAGACCTGAGTACTTCTACTTTTACTCAAGTACAAGACCTGAGTACTTCTACCCCTTCTCTCTAAATATGAATTTGAAAGTCACACGCCTTCTGAATAAATGCGCGTAAAAATGAAATGCCGCCTTTTTGCAGAAGTCGTTGGAAAGAGGAGAGCGATATATTAAAAAAAGTCCTTCCGAGCTGAGCCGAGGGGAGGGAGATAAACTTTGTTCCCTGAAAGTTTGTGCAAGCTTTCACTTTCTAGGCGGGGTTTCAGCAGCATGGAGTGAGAAACGGAGAGCGATGCAGCAGCAGCAGCTTCCATCCAATAATAAGCTCTCACATTTCCACAAATAACCATGTACTCCCCGTACTGCCTGACACAGGTAAACTCTTCTTTCCTTGTTGGGGGGCAGCTTGTATGGTGGGGGGGTTTATTCGCGTTTTGCTGCCTGTGTGTTTCTGCATGTTTCGCTGCTGCGTCTTTTCTCCAACTTCTCCTCCGAGCGTCTCTGCAACTTTTCCGGTGCGCACATGGGGGTTTTTGGAGAGAAAATGGCGCTTCTCCCGAAATGTATTTCATATAAAACAGGAGGAAGAGGAGGGGGAGGCGGTGTGGGAGGAAGAGGAGGGGGGAGACAGAATGTGCAGCGGAGGTTTTGGGAAAGTTCGGCCGGGCTGCAGGAGTGTTTTCCCGGGGAGAGGAGCCGTCTTCAGAGGCTTCATGTGGAGCTGAGAGACTGTGTGTGTGTGTGTGTGTGTGTGCGCGTGCGTGCGTGCGTTGGTGTGTGATTATGAACTCTGCATCTGCTGATTTTTATCGTTGTTGCAAGTTTTTGCACTTGAATGCAACACGTGTATTTTTATATTTCTGTCTTTTTATTCTTACATAATCAGCTACATGTAAACACACTGTACAAAATACCTCCGCTAACCTGCACCTCTTTTTGCAATTTATAATTTATAACAAAAAGTGCTTCCAGTTATTTCAAAAAATGACTTTGGAGGGTGTGTGTGTGTTGGAGTGTGTGTGTGTGTGTGATCATAAACTCTGCATCTGCTGTTTTTATCTGGAGCTTTGTTACACATTTTGGCACTTGAATGCAACACGTCTTTTAGGTTGATTTTATATTTCTTTATTTCTCGCTATTTATTCTCCTCTTACATCTTGCAGTGCTTCCTCTCACATGCACCTCATTTTGACATTTATATTAAAAAGTGCCATTTATTTTGACAGAGATGGTTGCACCTGCATCGTATTTAACACATGTTGAAGTTGTGGAGGAAATGTCTGCAATTTCCCCCACATTTTATATCAGTTTGAACTTTTGTAGCTGTATTTTTGTTGAATGTTTTTGCACTTGAATGCATCACGTCTTTCAGGTTGATTTTATATGTTTATATTTCTGTCTATTTATTCCTAGATTATCACCAGCTTCTTTTACATTTAAACCTACTTCACAAAATACTTATTTTGCGTAAAACTGCTTCGTTTTTTTAATCATAGCTCCAGAATTGTCCTCTTCGTTGCGGCTGTGGAGAAAAGTCTGCAAATTCCCCCAAATATGAAATCAGTAAGAGCTTGTTCTTAGTGTAATTCAGGGTGGTTATATTCGTGCATCTGTAATACATGTTTGAATATAAATTGCTTTATGTTTGATCTGCTTTTAAAACCTATATTTGTATCATTATAATAACATTTAAACACCACAGTGTGAGAGAAGAACCTGCCAGGCCGCTTCCAGAACTTTCCCCACAGCTTTTCTTTGTTTCAGAATATAACGCCTAACAGCCTCTCTCACACTTTATGAAACCCTACTTTTAATAAGTACTACAGATTTCCCATCATCCCTTCTGTTCTGCACACAAAGCCTGTTTTTCCCGGAGCTTTCTGAGCCCGGTGGATCTGTCCTCTGTGTTTCCCTCGCTGGCTCTCAGGCCTCTGTTGACGTGTAACTCGCTCAGGTTTTATTAAAGCACTTTTCCTCTGTGACGATGTGAGGATGTTCTCGGCTCCTGTCTGCTTTCCATTTCAAAAACTTTAGCAGCCAAAGAAATCATAGCGTGGTCCTCACGCTGACACCGGGGGATTTATTGTTCTCCCTTAATTCTTCACTTTATTGGAGAATCTATTAAAGGGCACTAAGTGTGTTGACTTTAGAGCCAGGGTTTAAGTTAAAGACAATAGAAGCACAGCAGCGCGGCCTGTGCATGAGAATATGTGTTTCATGTCTTTGCGTTTCCAGACAAGCCTTTAGAAATGAGTGCAGGGGGAGATTTAATATGTTCCTTTATTTCTTCACTTTATTGAAGCAATAATTATAGGGTGTTCTGACGCTCGGGTTAAGACCTCGAGTTGAACTTATCACCTGCAGAAGACGGGAGCAGAGATGTGTGCTTTTCACTTTGTCTCTGCGTTCTCTGTCCTCGCATCTCCAACAAAGCCTTTAGAGACGACACAAGATGTATTTGATTCCCTTCATTCTTCACTTCATTGTAGAAACTATTGTAAGTGCCGACTTAAAACCCAAACGGCAGAAAATAGAATCACAGATGTGCGGCGATGCCTCTAAATGTGTGTCTCGTACTCCGTTTGTCTGAGTCTTGCATCCTTGTCATTCTGAATAGAAGCCTTGTTTTAAATAAATTACTCACAAAATGTTTAGAGGATACCAAGTGTGTTGACTTAAGACCTTGAGATTGACTTAAATCCAGCAGAAAATAGAAGCACAGATGTGAAATAACAATGTGTTTATGATACTCGCTTTTTCACTGGGTTTTCCCCTCGTTGCATTTACAAATAGTCCTGTAGAAATGTGTAGACGGAGATTTATTCTTCACTTTATTGAAGAAACTATTATAGGGTACTAACAAGGTTTAACTTGGAGACAGCAGAAAATAGAAACACAGATGTCCAGTGTTGCTTATAAATGAGAATGTGTGTGTGTGTGTGTGTGTGTGTGTGATGGTCACTTCTCCTCAGTTTTCTCTCCTTGCGTTTCCAGTCTTTGGAGATGATTATTATACACCATTAATTCCTCATGTTATTGGAGAAACTATAATTAGCTACGAATACGGTTGACTTGAGACCTTGAGTTTAACTTAGAACCTGCTGAAAATAGAAGCACAGATGTGTAGCGTTGCCTGTAAGTGAGAAAATGTGTTTTACGTCCTTCCAAACAAGCATGCAGAGAGGGGAACAACAAATTATTTGATTCCTTTATTCTTCACTTTATTGATAGGGCACTAAGTGTGCTGACTTAAAGCCTTATATATGACTTAAAACCGGCTGACAATAGAAACACAGATGTCCAGTGTTGCTTATGAATGAGAATGTGTGTGTGTGTGTGATGGTCACTTCTCCTCAGTTTTCTCTCCTTGCGTTTCCAGTCTTTGGAGATGATTATTATACACCATTAATTCCTCATGTTATTGGAGAAACTATAATTAGATACGAATACGGTTGACTTGAGACCTTGAGTTTAACTTAGAACCTGCTGAAAATAGAAGCACAGATGTGTAGCGTTGCCTGTAAATGAGAATATGTGTGTTTCTCTGAGTTTGACGTCCTTTCATTTCCAAACATAGAGGGGGAGGAGACGCTATAACGGGCGCTAAGTGTGTTGACTTAAGGCCCACGATATGACTTTAAAACAGCGGGAAATAGAAGCCCAGATGTGCCGCGCTGCCTGTAAACAAGAATGTGTGTTTACTCACTCCTCCCGCCTTTAGAGATGATGACTTTATCTGTAATTGATAAAAAATCCTGTCACAGCAGATAATCTCCGAACAAAAGGAGCTTTTATTTAACTACATAAATGTCCCCTCAATTAAAACTAATTGACAACAGAAGCTCACACAGCGTAATGCAGTACACATGCAGCACATGATGCTAACTCGCGGCGTGCCATCAGACTCTGTTTACCCTGTGTTTGTTTCTCTACCTTATGTGTTGTGCACAGAAGAAACAACTTCACACACACACACACACACACACACACACACACACACACACACACACACACACACACACACACACACACACACACAGCAGTCCCTTGCAGATGGAGAGGCACATTTTGTTTATTCAATTGCTGTTAATAATTAAGAATTCGAGCTTGGACCTCGGAAATGGCAGCAATAGTAAACATTTGAATGAATTATTAACTGTGATTTAAAGAAAAGAAGAAGGAGCGGCATGGCTGGAGAACGCTGCGTGTGGGTGTGTGTGTGTGTTTCGTGCTGATCTAATTTAGAGATACAAAATCCCATCTATATTTAGGACTTTATAATGTAATATATCTTCTTAAAGTTGTGTCGAGATGTTTTGCTGCCCTGTCTCATAATTCATAATTTCCCATTCATTCTTTTTAAATGGAGCCAATTTCCTGCCATTAATTTCATTTTTTTTTTGTCCGTATTTGTTGCTTTCCCAGCACAAATCTGCCACCTTTTAAAACATTTTTTTTATTATTTTATTGTATTTTTAGAATTGTCAGACCTGGTGATGTGTAAATCTCAGATGTTGTTAACTGATTCCTTCCCTCTCCCCCTGTGCTGCTGGACCTGAACCTGCTCCTCGCCTTTTACCCTCTCAACTAAAGTATTACCCTACTCACCTTCTAAACAATGCCTTAGTGGTAAGTCCCATTTAGTCCCTCTTTATCAAGCATTAGGTGTCTGTGTTTCTGATGGGAGAGGATGAGGGCCACGTGGGAAAATATGTTTGAGATCTGATCAAAAGTGATTTTTTTTTTTTGTTGAGAAAAGTCAACATTTTGAGAAAAAAAAATCTGAATTGTGAAAAAAAGTCAGAAATACAAAAAGTGAAAATGTTAAGAATGAGTCAGAATTATTAGAAAAAGTAAACATTTTGAAAAAAAAGTCGTAATTCTTAAAAGAAAATCTGTACACTAAGAAATAGTCAAGTTTCTGAGAAAGTCAAGATTTTGAGAAAAGTTAACAATTTCAGAAAAAGTCAAAATTGTGAGAAAAGTCTGAATTTTGTGAAAAAGTCAAAATTCTGAAAAAAAGTCCAAAAGAAAAGTCAATATTTTGTGAAAAAGCAATTTTCTTTTTTTCAAAGTCAACATTTTGTGAAAAAATTCTAAATTGTGAGGAAAAAGTTAAAATAAAAAAAAGTCAAGATTTTGTGAAAAAATTCTAAAGATTTTGAGAAAAATTCAGAATTTTGTGAAAAAGTCTAAATTGTGAGGAAAAGTCTAAAAAAAGTCTGAATTTTGGGAAAAAGTCAAAATTCTGAAAAAAAACAAAAGTCAACATTTGGTGAAACATTTTAAGGAAAAGGAAAATTTTTGAGAAAAATCAGTTTTGAGAAAAAGTCAAAATGTGGAGAAAAGTTAAAATGATTGTTTCCCTTAGAATTCTGTGATTTAAAAAAGAGTTATTTTACATCTCAGTATTTTGACTTTTTCTTAAAAACCTTGACTTTGTTTCCTCAGAACTCTCTTCTGGTCAGATCTCAAACACATGTCCCATTTGGCCCTCATCCTCTTCCGTAGTTTCTATATATTCCAGAAAATGTTTTTTTTTTTGCAGCTGGAGGTTTTACAGGTCCGTGTAACTTTCTTCACACTCTATGAAAAGTTGTGTGTGTGTGTGTTTTTGTTGGCGATTACAGACCTCGTGTTAATGTGTGCACAGGAACATATCTGGAGCAGAGAAAGACATATTATGTTACAAGCTATATTTAATGTGGTATTTGAATTTACCGTAACTAAAAACATCCATTTTGAAATAGCAGTTACCAGTTGACTTTTTTACAATTTTACATTTTCCCGTGGTGCTTTCTCTGTCCGTCAGGAGTCACCTCAGCCTCGAGGTCAGCGCCTTATTTCTCTTTCCTCTAATTTCTCTTTCCGTCTGCAGCCTTTCTTTATCGGCTCGAGAGGATGTATTATATTTGTCCTGACGTCACCGCCGAGCGTTATCAGCCGCTATCAGAGCGCTGTGTTTTCAGAGAAAACATCAAAGCATGAGCTAGTTTGTTTTAACATGAAAATCCCATTTAATGAATGTAATCAATATCAGGACTTTGAGGCATTAACTTACATTTATTCGGACCCCCTCCCAGCTCCCCTCTTCTTCTCTTCCTGCAAAGTGAGTAGAGACAGCTGCTCCGAGGATTAGAATCTGATGGAACCACAGTCTGAATAAACAGAAAATGTTGGATTTTTCACAATAAAAGACCCGTTTCGTGTCTTCATGCCAATTAGGCCCGTCACTGGTTATCGCTGGAAGCCAATTTCCAGGCGGCCGTGCCTCACCTTTGTCCTGTAACTGAATCATTTTCAAGCCGCAGTTTCATGCTAAATGAAAGTGCAGAAACATTTCTCAGCGAAAGACGTGGGCTTTGCACACATACGTCTATACAGCTCAAACGGCCAAAAGGAGTGTGTGGATCACAGCCACTCTGCTTTTGGACGGCACACAGAGAAATGAAGTCATAGCGCTCTTGATTGACAGGTATAGGCAGATCCATTGTTCCCTGTTGTAACTGAGTGTGTAAGAAAGGGAGTCGGGGGGTGAAACCGGAGGAGTCCCCCCCCGATCAGCAGCAGGTCACGATGCCAGACGTTAGCCGGGGACACCGTGTTCCTTTTTACTAATTCATCCAATCACGGAGCCAGTTACAGGCCGATCCACCGGCCGATCCACCGCCCGATCCACCGGCCGATCCACCGGCCGATCCACCGCGAAAACGGACATCATTAAAAAACACTCTGGATTGTGAACCTTGAACTCTTTGCATGGCAACATTTTAAGGCAACATTTCCGCGTTAAAATATCTAAAACCAACGATACCATTGTATTTAATTTTGTTAGGGTTAGTTCACTAACAAATCTTCCAACCATTTTCAAACAGAGAAATCTGTCATTTTTTCCAATGTAATGTTCTGTTTTATTTGTTCGGCGACTTCTTTGAGTCCGTCATTGTTATTTTTTTTGTTGCCAAAAGCTTTCATTGTTGACTTTTTATCAATTTTTGCCTTTTAAGTTCTTGATTCTTGGAGCTTTATTGTCGTTTTTAACTATTTATTTGACCCGAATGAAGGATTTTAGGGGTTTATAGAAACAAGCTATGCAAGCGTTAGCGGTTAGCTTGCAGCGGCTTTTTTCTTGTGTCCAACAAACTGTGTTTTTAGTGTGAATCTGCTTGATTCTTTGTTTTCACCGGTTTAATTACCTGGTCGGTTTGGTTTCACGAGAACAAGACCTCTTCGAATAATATGGCAACTGGTTAAAAACGTTCTGAACGATGAAATGCTAACGCTAATGGGCGCTAACTGTGTATTGATTGAGAGGCCCAGTTGCAGGAAAGTGGATATTGTGCGGTAACAGTGGCATTGTGTGTGTTTCTGCCCTCCTTTCATTGGCACCAGCAGCTTGAAACAACAAGGTAGCCCTGCTAACAACCCAGAGCCTAAAATGTGAGCTTTAAAACGGGTACGATATTTGCATTCACAGCAAGAGGCGTCTCTGTGATGAACGTCTTTGTCAGTGATATAAATTATCTGCGTTTTATTATCAGCTGTTGACTGGGGGGGCCATCGTGCGTCAGCAGGAGCGAATTTACAGCATTTTCTTTTTTTGCAAAGAGACATTTCCAAGCTCTCTTTGGTGGCGAAACACAAAGACGAGATGAGCTGCGTGTTGGCAGCCGGCGGTATAGATTTTAAATTAAGTAGCATGTAGTTTTTATCTCGCGCCGCATGCAGAGAGAGAGGCAGAATCTGCACAGCTGTCCCAGCATCCGTGGAGAATGGATTCCTGCTGCTGGTGCCATGGGAGGCTCCCGCCAACAAGAACGGGAGGATATCCAGTGTGTGTGTGTTTCAGAGAGTGTGTGTGTGTGTGTGATCTGCATGTGTGTGTCATGTCACCTCTGGCATGGATTAGTCGTTGGCACAACCCGGCGCTGCCCGCGGCCTCGCTGCGGTTCTGTGGTCGCCGATATGTTGTACAGTTGCCATGGCTACTGAACACACACACACACACACACATTGGTGCTAAATTACATAATTGAGCTAGAATATACAGAGGAACACAAAATACAAATAAATACAAAATAGTGTACCATATGAGAAAAAGGGACGAGGGTATGTGTGTGTGTGTGAATTTAGAAAAAAGACGGAGTATTCCTTTATTAAAACAACGCATGAAACGCATCGGTGAATATTTGCGGGCTCCGTCATCAGAACATTGTGTTCTCTGCCTCGGTTTTTGACTCATAACTCGGAAAACAACAGAGCCGCCATTATGCGGGTTGCATTGAGCGTTGAGACGGGCGATTGAAGCTAAGGTGTTTGTGGTTACACACAAGTGGTGTTTGTGTGTGTGTGAAAGAATGAAAGAGTGTGTGTGTGTGTTTGGTAGAGGGTGGGGTAGACACACACACACACACACACACACACACACACACACACACACACACACACACACACACGTGTCTCTTCGCGATCCTCCTCCTTGGCTTCAGTTGGTTTTGATGGATCGTTTATCAGCCAGAGAATCAGCAATAAGTCACTTTTCTCTGACACTTGGCTAACTCAAGGGCAAACCGTCTGATAACTCTTTTGTAGGAGCTTAAAACCCCCTCCAGAATTCAGAGACATGAACAAATACTCTTATTTAAATGATAATTACCAAACGTGAAAAGATTTTCATGCAAAGAGTGGCAGAAAGTGCAGTTTCCAGTTCCCTAATGTGAAGATTTCATGCTTTTCGTTGATGTCGTTCTGACAATTCAAGACTTTTAAAGACTGCCTTCTACTTACTATAACTACTTTTTGACATTTCATAGACCAAAGGATAAATCAAGATAATAATCAGATTCATTAAAGTAGTCGTTAGTTGCAGGCTTAATAACTTGTGCCATCTGTTTTGTTTAACGGATGCACAATATGGTATTTCTTTGAGTCAATTAGAGCAACTTGGCTTGACACTATCACCTTATAATATTGGAGTAATACATACGATACGGTATACTTTATTGTCCCCGTAAGGACATTTGTTCTGGACCTGTCCTGCAGTTCAGCATACATGTACATATACACACATAGTGGACATTAAGAGACATACACATATCAGTCATACACCGTTTGAACAACACAATACACAGACGCACATACTGACAATGGCGACCTATTGCACAACCCTCATGGCCAACATTTAAAAAGTACATTTCAATGTTAAGAAGCTTAATGGACAGGTAGGAATGAGTGCTTATAGCGGTTCAGCCTGCTCTTCTGAACCCTGAATCTTCTACCAGAAGGTAGGAGCTGGAATCCTGGGTGGAGTACGTGGGTGGGATCAGACACCATTTTGTTTGCCTGTCTGATAATGGACTGCTCGTATATGTTTTGGAGAGATGGGTGTTTTCATAGCAGTCTGTACCAGTGTATACTACTATACATTTCCAATTTGTCAGCGATCCATATCCTGCAACTCCACTAGTTTTACACAAAAATAATCAATAATCTTGTTAATAAATCTTAAAAACACAACCACCTCCTCTCCGTAAAGTTACATATTGAACGATGATTGGCGCCAAGACGACATGTGATGTTACAAAATCCTTGTTGTGTTATTTAAAATAAGCGTTGAAGAAACTTTTTAC